AAAAAAATTATTCTATCGCATTCACATAAAAGTGAACAGGTTCCATATCAAAGAGAAGAAAGTAAAAATTAGTGAGACTCATTCATTTTTATGAGTATGGCACAAAAATAATCTGCAATGAAGAAAAAACATGGAGTAAAAGTAGAAACATCAAACCCAATAAATAACATAATATTAATCGAAATTATTTTTATTTGCGCTGACCATGATGATCTTCTTTGCACAAGTGTTTTGGTGCAACTTTAACCCATAGCAAGTAGGTTTTTCATGTAGAACAAAATAATCTTTCTTATGTTTAGCACACTTGTATTTATAATCATTGCAGAGGAATTGTACACTGCTGAGATGTAGTTGAGATGCAGAGCTGCCTTGATTGATTTTGAAGGAACTATTAAGTTAACTTTCCTTATAGTAGTGAAGAATTCTCAAGTGGGTTTTCTTGATAATAAAGTCGGAACAGTATTCAAAATGTTACTGTTTATCAACTTTTTTACTTAAATGTCACGCAAACAGTTTTATTTTTCAATCTGTTACGGGAGCGAGTTCATTACCCGGTGTAGCGAACTCGATTTGCTGACGTGTCACGTTTCTAGTGGATACCAAGTTCTCTACCCTATGCAGTGACCTTCAAACTTTTTTTTTAATTTGGTACTTGTTATCCACTAGAAATGTGACACGTCAGCAAACCGAGTTCGCTACACCGGGTAGCGAACTTGCCCCCGTGACAGATTGAAAAATAAGACTGTGCACGTAGCATTTAGGTAAAAAAGTTAGTGAACAGTGGTCACTGTTCCAATAAAGTCTTGTGGGATTTTATATTTATTCCAGGACAAATATAAACCAGCCAATAAATTTATAAATTATCTTAAAAAATCTTTAGCCTACTTACAAATTATTAAATATAATTTTTTAAATTCTGAATAAGGTATAATGAAATTCGATCTGATTTGGACTATTTACAAGTGGAGAAGAATAAAAATCTCGCCAAATGAAGCTACGAATATTCTATTTTCCGTAAGACTTCTTTCGTGTTAAAAAGAAAATATGTGGTGAGAAATGGACAGCTTCCAGAATACTTGACACTTTGAAAAAATAATTTTGGAAACCTTATCACCATTATCTCTTGGGCCCCGTATATTCTTGTTTAAATATCGAATCTATCACATTCACATTTGTTAATTATCTTCGTGCCAGATCATATAGTCTTGGGATATTTATACAATTTTTCAACAAACTATTTAAAACTACATTTATGTGCTAGTATGAGTTTGACAACAACAAAATGTTAAAATATCACTAAAATTGCATCAGCCGTTGTCAGTCGTAACCTTCTATATTGGATGACAAAAACTTGTGATTAATTTAAAATGACATTGAGTTTGATTTTAAAGATCACTTGCCATTTAGTAAATTATAAATTCATTTAAATTAATTTAGTTTACTAAGTTATCTCTTTAAAGTATTATTTTTTACATAATTTACTGTAATGTTCTTTCTATTTTTTTTTTTGATATATTGAAAAATTGAACACACAATATATTAGATAACTACACATACCTCTCACGACTAGGCTTAACCCCGTGGCTTACTTTCTAGTTTATTTATTTGCTTTTGTCAATTAAATTAATAATTTTAAAAAGTATAAGAGTGAGAACTGGCTTAATTTAGTGTGTTTAAAATTAAATCTCGAGCCTTTCTCATTGAAAACAAATAATTGTTGCCGAAAGTCAAAAGCTTCCATTCCTTTTTTTTTTTATTGAAGATAAAGCTTCCATTCCTTGTTGATAGTATATGTTCACTCGAATCTCAATCCCTCTTCCTTGGCTTTTGTCAACCATGTTTAATGTCACTACCGGTTTTGTCTTTTTTTATCTTTCTTTTTTTTCATTTTAACTAGATCTATAATCCATACATTTAACATATAATTGAACCAATACAATTATCGCTTTTTGTTAATATCAAATTTTTAAAAAATATATTTAATTACATCTTTTAATGTGTTATATAACTAATTTGACAAGTGTTTGCTGACATACTGAAATATAAGTTATTATTATCTTTTCATTTCTCAGGTTTTTTTTTTTTTTTTTGGTAAACTTTCTCAAGTATCTCAATTAACAATCGAATGTTAAACTTACAAGAATATTTTTAATAAAAATATTCTTTTTTATTTTCAATTTTATTGTTTTATTTGTAAATAAAAAATATGAGTACCTATCCCACTCTCGTTCAAAATTTCAAATCATAAATTTATAATATTCTTTCAAAACATTGTTAGTTTTTTATTTTATTTTTTATTCTTTCTTATCAAATTAAATTTTAAATTTTGTTAATTTTCTAAACATTTTTTCCTTATTGATTTCTTGGTTACCTTAAAATCATGAAAAGATGGAAATTGATCATCTCATCTTAAATATAACATGACATGATCACGTGAAGCAATCACAATCATTTAAAGATAAATCAACAATGATAATTTTATAATTATCTTTTTCAATATTTTTTCTCTTTCTTTTTTTATCACCATTAATCCACATTTATATTATTATAATTTTCTTACATAATTATCTCATGTTTTATTTAACATAAAAGACTGCACCTCCTCAAAAATATCACTCTCCTAGATATTGTGGGAGAGGTCATTAGCATAGTATTATGGTTTAAATTTAAGGTTTTATAATAGTTATGTTCTAGAAAAAGTGATTGTGTAATGTTATAGAGATTCGTTTTGCGTGATGTAATTTCTTTTTTTTCTTTTTTCTTCAAAAAATGTGGGCCCCACAAAATGTTGTATGTGTAAGAAAGTTTGTTATGTCATATTAAATGACAAATGCAAACCCCTTAAATTTATTATATCCATAAAGCCACACCAATAAGATGGGGACAACAACTTCACTTTGATTGAAGTCATCATACATTCATACTAATCATCAAACCAATAAAAGCAAATTATAATTGAAGGAATATAATTTTTTTCAGAAAAGTGACCCCGAACATGAATTTAACCCAATTCGAACTTTGTGCGAATCGTTATTGGTATTAAACTCAAACATATAAGCAATCTAATTTTCATTTAAACTGTGATTTTTTTATTTTATTTTATTTATAACTAAGTTATATAAATATCTCAATTTTAATTAAATTCAAGCATTATCATTTATATTTGCTTTTATAAGGTTTAAGTTCTTAATTTTGTTATTATCATCTATGATTAATTATTTTTTATTTTTGAAAATACAACTTAAACATATGAGTGTTTCGACTTGGGTTAACTCAATAAATAAAGGTGGAATTTTTTCTTTAAGTCGCTAGAAGTTTTTCCTCTTGTGTCAGGGAAATTTTATTTCTTATTAGAGAAAAATATTTTTTCCATAAATAAAATCAATTTACTTACAAAAACTAACGAGTTGACAGGTGCTACTTTTTATTTATTTATTTCAGAACTATTACTTTTTAGGGTTTTATTAATCTCCTTTTACATAAGATATGTATCTTATGTTGTAGAGAGAAACTAGATGAGTCCCACCATTACAAGAAAAAAAAAAAAAGTGAGGTGAGAAAATCGAAGTGAGAGAAAATGAGATAAGCTACCTCATGTAAAATGAGAGTAATATATCTCTACTTTTTATATATGTTTTGTCGTAGACTAGAGTAAGGACACATGACAGTTACATAATGTAGAGGCTTCAATGCTATGTCAGAGTGGGAGTGGCGTTACTGGCGTATAAGGACACTTCGACGTTCAAATTAAGATTTGCACTAAAGAGTGTAATAAAAATTAGTAAAGGTTAGTAATAAGACTCACACTAAAGAGTGTCCCAAAGTCCCAAACCCTTTATTTAGAGAGAGAAGTTGTGGGTATCTGGCCAAACACCTGATAGCTTAGAAAATGCGAATTGGTTTGTACGACCTGCTAAAGAAACACTGAAACATTGAATTCTCTGTATTCAGAAGAACTCAATGAAACGCTGGCTACAATTAATGTTGAGAATTTATACATGTGGTGGACCACTCTGTACTACGTATCTCCTTACCATTTTGAAGTTGGATCCATCAAATATATCCAAGTGCTTCGATTACGAGTTTGCAACAATCACCGAATCACTTCCACATGATCTGCCTTTTACCAATACTAGTATACTTACTTTATTCTTAGCATTATATATAAGGTCTTTATTTTATCATGTTATATGATGTCATGCAATACTAAAAGACAAAAAAAAAAAAATAATAAAAAAATATAATAAGACACTTTGTTCATTGATTTTATTTTGTCTTATCTTAAGATAACTAAATTATTTTTTCTACAACATAACTCTTATTTATTCCTTATATATTAATTTCATCCCAGGTCATTTGCACTTAAATAGCACGGGCCAAACTAGTTTTTCAAAATAATTGGGAGGGGAAGAAGAATAAGGAAAAAACCAAAAAAGAATGAAAATTTACGTATGCTGCGAGACAAGTTTAATGGTCCCATGTTACAGGGGGAACAAATGTTATAATGGAGACGTTTTGCACGCCCGGACCACCCCCAATTGGTGTGGCTGCTGAGATCTGAAGCACCTGGACCCTGTACTTACTTAAGGGTGGGTACCTTGGATTGGATAGCTACCCATTAGGCCTTTTGCAATGTCTCAGTTCAACCACACGCATTACACTCAAATATGTGGAAACCAAACTTAAAGAAAACAAGATTAGAAATTGAGCGTAATTCTCGTGACACGTCCCAAAATTGATTTCCATTAGCGAAGCTGACACTTTGTTCACAAGTTGGAATATCTATCTCAATAAATTTCTCTGTACCTTCTGACTTACATGCACAAAACTGAACATGCAACTCTGAAATGTAGGCAAAAGGTATAGTTTCTATTTGTATGTAAAATTAAAAATTTAAAACAACAAGGCCCACAACAATAATGAAATTAAAATTGGTATCCTATGTCTGGAGCAAAGGAGTTCATAAGTTCGATTAACGCTTCAATTAATAAAAATGCATCTTCTCTTAAAATAAAAAAAACTCTATAAAAGGAAATGTTTCCATAGGAAATTAAATCTACAGACACTAGCAGAAAATTTCATACATCATGCACCCTTGCACACAATTTCACACAACCTGAAATTTACAAATCATGAAAAAAGTTGAAAAGAAATTGCCGTGACAGATTAAAAGAAACGCATTCGAACATGGAACAAAAAAAATTCAGTCACGATTGCACACTTTTCAATAAATAAAAAACCCCAAAAGGCAAATGAATTCATGATTCAAGCTCTGTATACAACAGTTTCAAGGTGTTTGGGATTGGGAACAATATAGGAATTCGGGAGTGTTTGGGAGGATTCTCTTCTGGAAGAGCTTCTCCAGAAGCCAGTGCTATAAAACCTATCCCACATCTCCTTCTCAAGAGCCAGCGCGTCCTTGTCAAGCTCCACGCGCTTTATATCGGAGGCATCCTTAACGCACGTGGGGTGAGTCCGAGGGTCGTCGGAGCAGCCGCAGGAACAGCGGCCGCGCTTGGGCTGCAACAGCCCTTCCTTGATCACCCGCCGGCGCCTCCTCCTCTTTAGCATTTTCCGGCACAGCCCCGCCGGGATCTTGTAGATCGCAAGGACAAGAAGATTCAAAACTGCGCAGGGGCAGCAGCAACACACCGCCACGCACTCCGCCGTGGTGCTTCCTACGAGCTCCCCCACTGTATTCCCCGCCTTCGAAGACTGGCTCTTCAGCAGAGGTTGCCGCCGGTTCGACGACGGCTCTTGCCGGAGGACAATCTTATTCGACATAGCTCGTTCCTCTCGAATTTCGTGGGGTGCAATTGATCAACGATGTAATGGGAAAAGATTTAAACTTTCCGCAAAAAAGAAAGGTTTTTGATCTGGGTTTTCGATTTGGGAGGCTCTTGACTCGGTATAAATAAATAATCCCCGGGTTCTTTGCAAAATCTTGAAACTGGTTTTGTTTCCTAGTGCAGGAAACAGAGCTATTGTTAATCTCTGGGTGGGTGTGGATCCTCAATTCGAGAAGAAAAGAGGAAGAAAACGAAGGCCAGGAAAAAAAGACCCACACCCTGTTTTTTACCTCACAGCGAAACGTTGGGTTCTTCCATAGAAGAAGCACCCCCAGAGGAGGAAAAAGAAAAAAGAAGGAAAAAATTGGATGAGGGAAAGGGCGAAGATTGGAAATTTATGTTGGCGTGGAAAGTCGAAAGTAATATAAAGAGGGAACCCCGAAGAAGGTGAAACCAATTTTAGGATGAAGATGAATTTGATGTTGGAGGGGTTTATGGTGGCGACGGTGGTGCTGGGCTGGAACGTGGTGTAGCGTCCTACAAATATGGGACAACAACCTCAGCTTCAAGATATAAATGTTAATGGGGTTGTGTAGTTAGAGAGAGTTTTTTTTTTTTTTTTTTATTTCTTAGTTGGGGATGAGTGGAATTTTGGTGTGATGTGAGAGGGGCATTACTGTGAGTGACGTAAATAGCTATTCCATTTAGAATTAGGAAACTTGTTTTTGAGGCAAAATAGACGTGATAGCAGCTCAAACTCAAAGGCAAAGGGATGCTTAGGTGGACTCTAAAACGGAACGCCCCACAAATAACGCCATTTTTCATTTTCCACGCGTCCGCCTCGGGATTCAACCTTTTTAAAATTGAAATTTTGTTTTAAGATAATCTTTACAACCAAAATATCAGCCCATTCTATCGTATTTCGAATAATTTGTTTTTCTGTTTAACAGACGTACTCGCAACAACTTTCGATTTTGAATTGTTTTTTAATCATAATTAGCAGGTTAATAAGTTGGGTTTGCCGTTTGGTTAGGTTTCGCCTCAAGTAAATCATGTCTACATAAAATATTTTGATTTTGGCCTATCTCATTAATCTTATATAAAAAACATTATAAGTATGGCTTATGTATTTTTAAAAATAAAAAAATTTAGCATGAGCCTTTTAACTTATATATTCTAAAAATAACAGATACACAAATATAATTATATTGAAAAAAATTAAAATAATAAAATAAAAATGAACCATTTAATTATTTGGAGGAGAATAAATAAAGAATTAAACCATTTTCAAACAAAAAAAATTTAAAAAAATAAATTCATAGTTTAAGAAAAATATAGATAAATTAATTTTGTTTTAAGATATATAAAAGAATTATTCATTCTACTCTTATCTGATACTACACTTTTTTATATTTAACGAACATATTTATAACCAAATTCAATTCAATTTTTTTTTTTTTAATTGTTATTAGATAAGAGGGTGAACATGACCGACCAGAAGATTCTAAAACAAAGCCATCTCTCGGCGTTCTCCAACAAGAACGGCAGTATGAGACTTGTGGAAGAAAATAGTTGATATGGAAGAAGAGAATACAAAGTTTACAAGCTTCTATTTTTTTATAGGACTCGATAATGAACCATATTGACTATGTCAGCGGTGGTATCCCACTATAGAATTATACATCAACTATAGATTGAAACTTGAGATTAAAAGAAAAATTAAAAAAATACGTACATAAAGAGCAATTTATTATCCATTTTTTTAACAAAATCTGTACGTATTTTTACACTATAAAATTTGTAAAATTCGATGATTGTACCTATTTTTTTTAAAAAGAATAGGTTATATTTACAAAAAAATTTGTTTACAAACTACACTATGTATTATGAATAATACATACTCAAGTAGTATGTACTATCTATAATATATAGTGTAGTTTGTAAGAATTTATAAATAAAAAATTTGTAAATATAATCATACTCTTTAAAAAATTAAGTTAATCTTTAAAATTTAAGAAAAGTATTAAAAAAGCTTTAATCTTTTCCAAAAGCGTATTCAATTAGCATGAAGTTTTAAATATACTTCTAATTAAAAAATATTAAACAAATTGACTTTTAATATGTTGTACTTATGCATGCTTGGTTTTAATTCTTCTTAATCCTGAGCCGTCCGGAAAATAAAAAATTCATTTTTTCTAAACCTTTAAATCGAGTAAACTCACTTTCGCTATGGTGAAATATCCACGTGACGAGTTGTTTAATGTTTTAAATATAGAATTAGTATTTTTTTTATCTTCTGCGTACACATAAAAATGATACTTTTATTGATGTGTTATTTTTTAATTAAATCTAAAAGAAAGGAGACAGATGATTGAAGCACAGGTGATTTTTATTGATATGTTATTTTTTACTGATGTTTATTTATTTATTTTCTTTTTATGTCATCTTCTGTGTTTTTGCACTCCACTCTACGGACTTCAATCTATTAAGTGTTCGACAAAAATTTCCATTGAAGTTATTTGGTTGTGTGGTTCCTATTATTTTATTTTGATTTTTTTTCCTGACTTGTATTTAGTCAATTTAATTTTATTTCCAAATATGTTTGTGGTGTTATTTAAGTTTGATTTGTTTTGTTTTTGTGCTTTATTTTTGGCCTCTTATTTAGTGGAGCATTTATCTTGATTATTGCTTGATCCACAAATTATTCCAATTACAATGACTCTTTCATCTTTTATCCCAATTACAGCACTATTATTTAGGCTGATGTCAATCCAAGCACTTTTTTTTTTTTTTTTTTTGCTAATGTCCATTCCATCGGCTAAAAGAAAGATGCTGGAATTACTGAAATACAGGAAAAATACAGGTGCTTTATTCCATTAAAAGAAAAAAAAAAGTACAAACGGGCATATGTCACAACGAATTCAACATATGAATAAAACTCTGAAAGAACCAAAATTAGGATGTGTGATTAGGCATTTCAGTTTTAACATATCATGCCGATCAAAATAATTAGGCAACCACAATAACATTTAAGACTTGCTCAATTGTTTGAGACGTACACGGTTAGAAATATGTAAACTAATGGATGCGTGTCACGTCTCATAAGGTTGCGCCTTTTAATTTAGTAGTTAAGCAAGTCTAATTAAGATCATTTAGCTCAATGTATACCTATGATCATACCTTAGTTTGCCTTTCCCTCTCTTTTTTGTTGTCCAATAACCTAAAATCCTAGTCGAATAAAAAAGTTACTAACACTGCAGTTATGAATCGTGGCTTAATTTGGTAGCAAAATAAATTATGCATATGAATCTTTTCCAGCAGTGTAAGAGTTAGACACTCGTTGACAATGACTGACTCTGACAAATTTTTACGGGTGAAATTGAAATATATATTTTTATATCCAATTGTAATTATTTATGTAAAAAAATAAAAATAATCTTCACAACTAAAAAATTCTATAACTTTTAAGGGAGAATATACAATATAGTAATTACAAGTAATATTCTAATCTAAAGACTTGTATAAACTTAAAATGGGTAAGATCGCTTCTCCACCACTAGGGGTGAAAGTGGGCTGGGTTGGACCAAGCTTTGCTCTGAAAAGCCCAAACTTACGTCAAAAAATTTCAATTTGGTCTGGCCCAAATCTAGTATAAGTCTAACTGTTAGCCTGTTTGGCCCGTTTATAAAAAAAACAAATGGCGTGGTTTGGCCCGTTAGCCTGTTAATTTTTAAATTTCAAGCAGAACCATGAATCAACTTTACAAAGTACTCAAATTCAGTTGCTACACCAAAAATCATAATTTCAACGTCCAAATAGAATCATGAATCATAACAAAACTCATACAATATGCACTTAAGTCATTTTCGAAAACAAAATGCTCAAACTATATAACATATATTTCATCAGATCCAATAAACAAATCCAAACTATGTAAATTAAGATAACTACATGAAATCCAACAAACAAATCATGATGCTTGTAGTAAGTATAACTCTCCCAAAAATCTTTTAATATATTCATATATATCATCTAACATGTTGAGATGTTGGTTCCTCCTATATAAGAAATAAAATAAGATTTCTATTAAAATACAATCGAATATGATTAAGTTATAAATAATTGTAATTGATTAAATTTATATTTTTTCCTTAAGACATACTTACTCTATTTTATTTTATTTAAAATAAATAGTACAATATAGGCTGACATGTGGGCTTATAGGCCCGACCTTTTGAAAGTGGACCTATGGCCTTTTTATTAAACAGGCTTTTTAAGACTCAAGTTCGACCTATTATACAAAATATACTAGGTCAGATTTGGCTTGATGTAGGCCGAGCCGTAAGCCCCTGTAGGCCGGCCCGACCCAATTTCACCCCTATCCACCACTGCTGGTTGATAGTATTTTATGCTAAAGTTGATATCTGAATTGCAATTAATCTCACATTTAAAAAATATAAGAATATTTATTGGTCTTTAAAAATAGGGTTTTATTAGTGTTATGTTATATGATTTAAGTGTTGTTTCTAACACACACACACAAATGAAGAGAGAAAGTGAAATGATGAAAGAGAATGAAAAATATGTGTGTATAAGAAAGTGATATTATATCATGTTACATGATAAACATAAAACCCTTAAAAATATTAGGCTATTAATGACAAGTTTTAGTAGTTTGACAAATCTGTCGTTGAACCTCGTAAAGCAAGACATTTATTTATTTATTTATATTGTTTCCGTTTTTACATAATGATGTGGTCAATGATTTCCTAATTACTTTGTAAACATTATAATTTTATCCACAGTGAACTAGCACGTTGACCTCAAACAAATAGAATCGTCTCGCCTATTTAATGTTGTTATTCATACAGTAATTATTACAAAAACTCTATTTGTATATGATGGTTATACAAGAGTCCTAGATATCTCACTTAGTAAAGGGATTCAATACGCTTAAGATGAATAATATATCCAGAATAAAGATTAAAATATCTAAAGAAAAATAGTATATTAATCAGTAATATTGAGTTTGTAGCTCAACCAATGACATCTAAATCATTAAAATTTAGGTAAGGTGACAATGGTATTAAAAACTTTCATCACGCCACGTATTTCTTCTCTAATCTATATACTGGCGTCTAATATAAGAAGAAAAAAATTAATCATATTATTTTTTTATGTGTTACGTTATTGTCATTTGTCAGCTAATTTTAAATAAACTATTTGTATCTTTTTTGAGATTTTTTAAATGAGCTTCTAGATTGAAATTAAATCATGAGTCTCATTTTGTCATAAATTAGTGAGGAATATGGAATCCAGAAATGTACGGCGGCCGATTTTTTAATCATGAAATACTTGTTTGATGTGTTGGTCATGTGTTTGTGGAGATCTAGTCAGATAACTCAGATTTGTACAGTTGGCATGGATCGCCCAGAAACCCACTCTGTCACGTCAACTGCACTCTTTCGTGGTTTTTATAAGTTCACTTCTCAGTGACAACGACCTTTTTGCTACGAATTTAACAAATATTCACCGGAATGCCATGAACTTGGTAAAATTTGACAAAATATAAGGGTATTCAATAACCGATTTAAATCAACTAAATCAAAAAATCGATAACTGAATAAATTAAAAATTAAAAAATTAAAAATTGAAAAAAACCGCAAATTTTAATTAAATTAGATCGGTTTTTGGAT